CTTTTCAGTTGATCACATGTATGAACAAGTCGGAATTAATAAATAGAAGTTCAAAAGCAAAGGACAGGTAAATGCATACAAAGAAGATTGTAGTGAAGCCAAACTCTTTAGCATTTCAAGTGTGTTGTTGAGCTCAAAGTTGGACATATTCAGCCTTGCAAAAACCTGCCACGGCTGTTCGCGCACGGACATCTAACAATATGGAGTCGTTCGGTGCGATTTACGTAACGCGGTACAAACCTCCTGAATACGATTGGAGTTTGCGTTTTGGGATGAAACTCATGTCACTCTCCGTGTGGTTCCACGATTTCGCAAGTCAAACCAGGATTTATTATTTGAAAGCGCTCGAGCGAGATACTCAATATCCAGACAATTTGAGAGAGAAGGAAGGTAAAAGGAACTCCTGCCGTGGTCAACCAGCATCCTGACCTTTTCGAACCTCTCCAAGCTGTCCCTGGTAGTCTGGATATTGACGCACGCACTGATTTTCAGCTTCTCCTCGCCGGGATCACGGGTGAAACTTTCAAATTTGCCGATATGCACTCGAACAAACGCACAATTGGATCTACATCACAATTTCGGGGCTATCTGTGTGCTTGCTGCCTTTTTCAGCAATACCCCACATGTCTACTGGGCAGTTTCCACCAGGCCTCGGCCTCCTGGACTCAACAGCGACTCCAGCGCCATGCCATCTGTCCCCTAAATCGCATGAAAAGGTAGCTCAGCATCGAACGCACGGGACCTGAAGTTTGTGCACGGGACGTGATAAAACTTGGTGAAGATAGCCAGAAGATAGTCCTCTACCTGGGAAAACTGAAAGCTAGACTGGGAAAACTCCTGAAAGGGCTTCTTGACGCAGGCATGTCAACGATGAATCAAGGAACGAGCGAGAAAGAAGGCTTGACTTGTGCAACGCGGAACAAACTGTTCCTGAGACGAAGTTGGCCATGTGAGGTACCAGCGGAAAGCTAGTTTCAAGAGGAACACGGAATACCTGTTTTCCGGGTAAACCTGGCCTGGTAGCTTTCTAAATCGAGCGAAAACCACAGCGAAATCGGCTGCTGAGAATTTGAAAATTCAAATTTCCTTGCCGATCCAGCCCAATCGAGACTTTTGGCTGCCATCTTGTTAAATGTCCAAATTTCGCGAAAAAAAACAGCCGTGCTGCGGGAGTACACAGTGTGATTTTATTAGACCAAAGAAACTTCCCGGAGCAAACACAGCTCATGCAATCTATGACAACTGAACTAAGGGGAGGTACACTGTTGGACGTCGGATATCCAACATTCCGAGTTGCACTGCCTTGGGAACGTTACGTACATGTATGTATGTATGTATGTATGTATGTATGTACATGTATGTATGTATGTCCATCCATCAGGGATTGTAAGTGCTTGACATTCCGTCTTGTAGCTACCACGTTCATCATTATACCATTTGCTGTCTCTCTCATTGGGCAGATGCTGGATCAACGACAGAACCGTTCTCTACAGCACATTCCTTGCGCCGTTGGGAGCTCTGCTACTCTACAACTCAATTGTTCTGGCCAACATTATGGGCTTGCTGTGGCGTGGAAAGGTGGACATGATAACTGGTCGTCGACAGCAGCACACTGCTGGTCTGAACCTGCTGAGTGTGGGTATGTCCCTCTCAGCAGTGCTCTGCCTTGCATGGCTGATAGCGTTTTTGATGCTGCTCAGAGAGCACGCAGTAGTCCAGTGTTTGTTTACGCTAGTAAACACGCTCTACAGCCTCGGCGTCTTCTGGCACACGATCTCCGAAAAGGATGTGCGGACGGGCGTGAAAGATCTCTGCTATCCCAGCACAGTATCATACATGGGTGAAGACGTGGGGTCATATGGAAAGGAGGAGCCTCCAAAGCCAGTGCTTCAAGCCAGGACCAGCTCCATCGCGGATAACGACAACAGTTGTCCCTTCGCGTTGCCTTCCACCATACAAGATAACGAGGCTGCTGCTATTAGCTTCACTAGAATGAGCTTCCCGCTGGTATCTTCGGCCGACATAGCAAACTCTCACCATAAGGAAAACGTCTGCAGTGGCCCTGGACTTTAGTGGCACATACGACTGTAAGCCGTAGATATTTACGTCTGACAGAATTACCATTTCCGTCTGGTCATCATACAAAATAAGCCCGAAAATACTCTTTACCTCTGCTATCATGAAGCATGATCAAGCTGAATATTTCAACGCTCCGTGTCCATGTGCATCGGCGTGCAATCCTAATACTATGATATTCATGATCCTAATACTATGATATTCATGATCCTAATACTATGATATTCATGATCCTAATACTATGATATTCATGGAAAGCCAGTAAACTCACAGCCCAGTAAACTCACGATGTACATGCACATTTACATGCATCAATAAATGCTTCAATATATAGTACAAAATAAAAATTATGACTAGAAAATAGGTTGTGCTCGCCACAAACAAACTATATGCACTGCGATAACGATTCTCCCACACCAACAATCGATTGACCCGCTGTTACAAGTAATGATTTCATGCCACTCTTTCTCGGCAATACTGCCAAACTCACGTGAATCACGTGGTCTTCGTAGCACCGACCCTATAAAATGAATAAGCAGAGAAAATGATTCCCCTCAGAATTTCTCACCTTGCTCCCCTTATGTTCAGGCTGCCCGTTTTGCTTTGGAAGTCTACTCAGGAAAGGGCTTGCTCGCCAGACGGGAGCTCGCGTTTCTCCGCCAACTTGTATTATTTAATTATTTAAACGATTTCCCAAAGGCATAGACACTTGACTTGACACTTGGCTGACTCACGACTGGCTCTCCTCCTCTGCAATCCACGTATACATGTACATGTACATGTACGTGTACAATGTAATTCAAAATTGGTTTTGGAATTTGTTTATTTGTTTTGCTTGCAAATACCGGGGGAAATCGGCATTCACATCGAGGCGTTGTGGAACTTGACTGTAGACATAAATCGAAGTCTGTAGCATTAGGAGCATTAGCATTAGGAGATCAGTTGTATTGCTTGATAATAATTACTTTCCATGAAGAAAGCAGTGAAATATTTGTCTTGTCATGTTACAATCCAATCTGTACTGCTCATGAGGTGGTCCAGTCTATGTGCACCTAATGTGCGGCATGTGGAGCAATAAAAACACATCTCTTTATACCACTTTCACTGGATTACTACTCACCATCTCTCGGCAGTGCAATGGCACAAGTGACACGAGCTCAACTGATTCCCAGTACTGCGGGTGAAGTTCATCTGATGTTCAGACATTTAGAACGACCGTTGCAGGTTATTATCAACATAGCTTGCGGGGATCCACCCTTCCACAAATATGAAGTGCAGAACCTACTTATGTCGTTAGCAGGCGCCCTTATTACAGTATAAACCAGAAGGGTGTGCGTTTTGTTGTTCGATCAGCTTAAAACTGGTTACTTCAAATCGCCGTCGACCGCTGGTTCTATTCCGCTGGGCGTTATGTTGCTCGTAAGAAGCAAAAACAACACACGCCGTCAAAACGCCACAACCACATAGTCCAAAAGGTACTAGAAAGACTCTAGCGCGAGCAGCTTCACGCACCAGACAACTGACCTACGCTGAGGAAACACTTCTGCTACCGCACACTTGACTTATTCCCTCGTTCAAAAATAGCATCTAGTTGAAGAAAATAGCACGAATTGCATACTTTTTCTTGACACCTTTCACGAAGAAAGACGATTCCGTAGATAGTTGAGGCATCAACAAACCGAACGCCTAGACAACGAGTTCGACCCTACCACCTAGCGTATGTGGTTCATGCCTCGCCGAAAATTATATATGGCAACAGGATGTGTATATCGACTGGGTTCACTTGAAGAATGACTTGCCATCATCACCCGTCTGCACGAAGAATGGTCCAGAAGAAGGTCATTGCTTCTACTTTTGTCCGTAGCGGACAAAGGACTTGTATACAGTAGGTACCCGGCCGGTAGGTCAGCCTGCAGATCGGTAGTATACAATGTACAATGTACATGTGCATGTACAAGAAATGGCCAGGTAGCGCCTAAGCCGTCACACAACACGAGTATTTAAAATTCTTTCTCCCACGGTAATCCGTGTCATATATGTACATGTATGTGGTGGAACGTACACGTAGTCTTCGATCCCTTCAAACATGTATCAAAGTCTCGTAGGAACCGCGCCTCCGACATTGGAGTTGGGGACGCTGATATTGCCGACAATCGACAAAGTGGCATACATGTTTTAGAGATTTTTGACATGGAAAACACTTCGCTATAATAGTATGGTTTACATGTACTTAGCTATCTGCAGAACCATTAGGTGGAGGCGCACACTCACCCCTCATGCATCCCTTAGCTAACGAATACATGTAACTTAGCGGCACTCAAGAATTCTTCCTCATGCTGATTAATTTTTGTGATAGAACGATGAGCTAACTGACCATGCTATCCCGCGGCTTGAGGGTGAGAGCGCTCTCACTCGCAAGTGTTTCTTATCGGGCACAAGTTCCTTGTAGGGCAATTCAAAGCGCTGGGGAGGTACGCGTCATGTTGTTGTGAAGCACTTCAAGAAGTGAAGCTGTGTGTACAGGTAGGACTACTGAGCAGGAACTCCAGAAGCACCTAACGTCTAGTTGTACGGTTACACAGGGCACTGGAGAACCTGGGAACCGTTTAGTGCTATGGACCATGACCGGCACGAGCTGTTTCTTGTACTTGTAGGCATACATAATATTACTGTACTAGCTCGACCTGATCATGGACTTTAGTATGTAATCGTTGCACCACTAAGGAGTAAGGGAAAGGTGTCGGGCGCACAAGTCAATCACCATACAGGTACTTGTAAATTAATGTAAGCCCTCCATTGCACTAAGTGGCGCAGTCACACACAGGATCTCTGCAGGATATTCCCAACACGACGCGACCAGGTGACGCAGAGTGCCCGTATGCTAACGTTAGTCGCGGCCGTGTCACGCAGTCACGCATACAGGATCGTGTCCCACTCGAGAACTTCGTTCTTCCCCAGATCTAGAGGTTCGCAGTCAATAACGCCGGCATATGTGACTGACTGCACAGAAAGCTCCAGGTTAGCTAGATGCAGAGCAAGGTGTGTCGTAAAATACCTAGGCTACAGCTGCTAACCTTTCTTTATTACCGTACACGCGCCCTGGGAACAAAACACTTTTGTTTCTTGGACAATACTAGTGAGAAGCTAATTTGGCAAACCTTTAGGCGTAAAGCAGCTGATGAGTAAGCTATGTACATGTACATGTATAACTCCACGAAAAGAAGAATAGTATTAGTAGTGGTCTGTCGCGCAGGTCGTTGCAGCTGAACGCCTATATACTCCGCAGAGCGTTTACTCATGTCTCCTTCAGGATTTCATCAGATGCCAGCAATGACGCACATTGGCACCATACTGGTAAGTGGCCTCGTATCACTTATGGACATTAAGCGATATCTTCATTGGCCGATAGCCGATAATCTTGACGGAGACAAAGCGCATTTGTGGAATAGTCAGCATTAGAATGGAACCTACCAGATGAACCATATTTGCTTCCAGAATTTATTTATGCACGGCATGCATTCGTGGGCTGATCACAAGCATCTCTTATCCTTTTTGCGGTGTTTTTTTTCCTACAATAAAGGTTGCTAACGTATCTCGAGGGGAGACAATCCTGGTATCCACATAAAAGCTCATTTAAAGTCAATGTGCATTGGATTGCATTTACAAAGGTTGATGCGGATGATCACATAGTGTTGATTAACAACTCGACAGGGACAGCTTTGAGATTCTATTCGCATTTTAAAAACACAATGGTTCTTGTTTTGTCGATTTCAGAAATATTTCTGAGCACTGTGCAATAGTGCACGCACACCAAAGGATACTCGCAGGGATCGAATGTACATGTAGATCGTCCTCATACTGATTTTCCCTGAAGTACAGTCTGTAAGTTAAGTGGGTAGACCTCACCAGGAATTAATCTCTGATTTCAAATGCAGATTGTTTGTGTGCATCTTGCTTGGCCTGGAGCCGCCCAGCGCAGTGGACCACTAGGCGATCTGGATCCCGATGTATCAAGCTCCCTGCCAGCCGCCTGTTCAATGTGCAATTGCACCGGCGGAAGAGTCGATTGTCAGCAACTGAATTTGTCTTCATTCCCCACAAGTTCTTTACCAACATCCATTACTGAAATGTAAGGCCTCCTAAAATGCTAATCAATATTATAATTATTCACAATGACCTGAAAAAAGATATCAAAAGACATTCACGATTAGCGGGAGACTCTGTTAAACAGAGGTTCGCGCATCGCAGGCACGCCACCGCCCTCAGGGAGCAAGGCGTAGATGCATGGCCTAAGGCAGTGGGAAAGGAATTCGTCAGGAGCTAACCGCGGAAGATATACATCTCCATGTATGAGGTTGTGACCTGTGAGTGTGACAAGACAAATAACAATGTGGATTACTTTATGGCCCTGGAGGATGTTTGTATAGCCAGTCAAGAACAGCCGAGGCATGGAAGGTTTGTGAATAATGAGTTACGTTATACTGAGGTAGTAAATATATTAGGGATGACAATCCCCTCGAACAAGCTTAGAGAGATCATTGGTTCCCTGGGGAGTTGGTTTTTTTTTTTTTTTTTTGCGTTCCTCTCACAATTATAGCTGCTTCCCATGCCTGGCTTTAAATATCATCAGTTTTGGTCAAATGCAATTATGCTGAAATTCCACCCCGAATGACCTCACAAACATTGATTGTGGTTTCTGAATACTACATCTATGGTTCCTAGTCTCATGGAACAATGCTTCCACAAAAATATTTGAAAGTCAATGCCAATAAATGCTAATGACGGTTCATCAGGTGTCCAGACTTCCACTCGGATATAGAACCAATGTAATCATCATGCATATACAAAGGAAGGATCAAAGATCATGAGTTATGACCAACTGTCGATGACAGTAACTAGATTATAATACAGTCGGCAAGTGCGACAACAAGGAACAAAGTTGCCCAGGTGTATTGAGACGTCCAACGACATGACACCTTTTGCTCCAGAACACCCATGAGTTACAAGCCAACAACCTTCTAACTTAGAAAGGGTCGGATTAGAAAATTCAAAATTACTCACATGATACGCCGTCATTAGCTATGGCGAAACGTACGTCGTGTAAAACTACTTCAAGAAGTACTTGATAGTATACTTGGCTCGTCCATCATATAGACATCATAGTGGAGATCACACTAGCTGAACATCCGAGTTCTAATAGTGAGAAGTGATCATTTAGCAGGAAGCACTCATGATCACGTCATCAGTTCTGAGGCTGGAAGAGTTTTGGCGCCTGAAGGTGCAAGGTTACCAAAATGTATAATTATGTGCCTCGCCAGACAAAATTTGGCAACTCTGGCACGGTGGCACCTCTGGCTGTTCTATGGTTATAATTGAATATTTCGGATCCTAGCATCCCTCATTATCCAAATGATCGTCTTTATTGTTATTATTATTATTATTATTATTTGAAACTCGGATGTTGAGCCATAAATAAATGTAAAAGAGAAAAGGACATATGGATACGAGTTTAGAGTAACTCTCCATCACTGTAACATGATACTATATACAGTCAGAAAGTGCAATAACTAGGCACAAAACTGACAGAGTACTGAGACATTCTGTCAGTTTTGTGCCTAGTTATTGCACTTTCTGACTGTATATAGTATCATGTTACAGTGATGGAGAGTTACTCTAAACTCGTATCCATATGTCCTTTTCTCTTTTACAATTATTATTATTATTATTATTATTATTATTATTATTATTATTATTATTATTATTATTGGTCACTTCTCACTGCTTCCACGCCTTCATTTCACTCACCTTTTGTAGTAGCTCACACCGTCTGAACCCTCTCACATCTTTTCTGCTAATTTCTTTCGTCTTCTCTCCCACTTAAGTTTTTTTTTTTCTTCACACCTCACCTTGTATACTCCCCACTATCCTATAACCTATAAGTAGTTTGTTTTTTCCGTACAGCCTCTATTGTGAGACGATTTTTCCCTGATGATAGTCTCAAGAAAATCGATTAGGAACAACCATCTTAGATACATGTATTCTCATTCATCATTTTTGTAATGTCCGCTTCACTTATACTATTAATCGCATTAATAAAATTATTATTATTATTATTATTATTATTATTATTATTATATTTCCCTCAAACCAGTTAATATTATTATTATTATTATTATTATTATTATTTCTCCTGTATTCACTTCTTTCGAAGGCGATAAGCCAGACCCACCGGGAAATATTTCCATGGGTGGGACAGCAAAAAGAAAGTGAAAAAACAAAAACAAAAATAAATAAATAAATAAAACCTAAAAACCAAAGGGACAAGAACTAGTTGAAGGAAGAGGAAGAAAGGAAAGAAACTCAATCCGAACTCCAACATCAAAACAATAATAAGGAATTTGCAGCGACAGGCAAAATACATCAACCAATGAAGGGAGTAGTAACAAAGGAAATATCAGTCTTTATCAGTCGTTATTCAAGTCTCTTAGCTATTGAACATGAGATTTTATTATTATTATTATTATTAATGTTGAACGGCCTCTGCTGGGAAGACGACTACACCATAGCTCAGTGGTTAGAGCATCGCTGGCTACAAGCGAGGGTCCCTGGTTCGAGTCCTGGTGGTGACAGTCAATTTTTTCTTCAGACTTTTCCCGTTTGTCTCTTTCCCTCAAACCAGTTAATATTTTATGACTTGGGGCTCCCCGCGTGCTAGTTTGTACGTGAAGTGTGTGGGTTACAGTGAGGGCTGCGTCCCACCCGCCTGTGTGGATTCACAGGAAGTGTGAGTTACGAAGTCTGAAGAAAATGTTGAACGGCCTCTGCTTGGATGACGACTACACCATAGCTCAGTGGTTAGAGCATCGCTGGCTACAAGCGAGGGTCCCTGGTTCGAGTCCTGGTGGTGACAGTCAATTTTTTCTTCAGACTTTTCCCGTTTGTCTCTTTCCCTCAAACCAGTCAATATTATTATTATTATTATGCTTTGTTGGGATGTGGAATAAGTGGAGAAAGCAGCAGCCATGGGTGACTTGTACATGTATGTCCAAACTATCATACGACGGCTGGCAACCACAGATGTGTTATTTGCTTTCTCAGATTATTGTCGCGTAACAGACTTCGCACGCTGGCAGCTACGTCTTTCTACAGATTTTCAGACCTAACGGACCTGTGAGTACGGCCGTGATTGCAATCTATCTCATTCTTGTAACAAATTGGCTGAAAACAATCCTCAAGAGAAATGCCTTTTTTATTAGGCGGTCAAGCTATGTTGATTGATATGGTGGTAAATGCACGTTTGCCCACACACACTAGGGTCAAGCGGTGTGTTTCCTGAAGGATTAAAGTTGCAAAAACGAGTCTTCATCTTTGTAACTGGATTTTGTTTCGCTGTACACTACTCTTTCAGGTTCCTTGACAATAACCATCTATCAAATTTGCCCAGCGGACTATTCAACCAATTAAAGAATTTAGAGATATTGTAAGTTATTTTTGAGAACACTGAATGTCACACTGGTGATGTAGAATTTAATTAATGATATTCTGTTAAAATCATCTCCTGCTTATGCAACACTTTAAAGAGACTATTCCGGTTTAAAGTCCGTTAAACCATGCGTAATGTGTGCGTATTAGCGCTCCCCTCGAACGCAACGTTTGTTACAAGGCGGGGCGTCACACCAGCCTATGAGGATGTTCAGCCGGCTAGTGGTTTCAAGTCTGAATGAAATGAAATGGAGACCAGTCGTGGTTGACATAACGACTTCACCCCAAAGCATATTGGTACAACGTCGTAGGCGATCAGCAAGGGTCACTTCTCTGAAAGTTGTTAGACTGTTGCTTTTCGTGAAACGGGAGTAGGACCAGGGCTTGAATTGTGTATGTACCCTTGTTTCGAGGCGGTGAGCATTGACCAATTTGTTTAGAAAATTTGAAGTTAGTGATAAAATGTCGCGATGTAATTATGATAATTGTAAGCAGTCTCTTACTCTTCTCTTTTTACGTATTCCTTTTCACTCTCACCTTTCTATATGCGTCATTTATGTTTTATATTTGCGTCAATAATAATTTTAATTATAGGTTAGTGCATGGCAGGGAGGGCCCTATGGCTTGTTAGTGCCCTCCAGGGTAGAATGAACGCGTCATCAAAGAGTAGTAAAATTACAAGTGAGCGGGCTTTAAACTCTGATAAGGCCCGCGGCGGGAAAGTTGCTGATTGGTCAGCTCCTAGGCAACGGGATTGACCTCGTTCTAAATGCTGTGGTGGAGAACTCTTGGACAGGCCTTCCAGCCTTTGGTGAAACCAGAAATAAATAAATTGCAATAATATTTAAATTGGTCAGAGCATCGCTGGCCTCAAGCGAAGGTCCTTGGTTCGATTCCGGGTGGTGACAGTCAATTTTTCTTCTTCAGACTTTTCCCTTTTCCATTCCGTCAACTTGTGAAAAATGTCAAATAAACAGCCTCTATGTGAACCATGTGTTTTAGGAACCTTGCCTCAAACAGACTTAGAGCACTTCCGGGTCGTATATTCTCCGGCATGGAACGCTTGACGGATCTGTAAGTAAAATCTTCAATAGCGGATTTGGAGAGCTGCTTCATATTGCCAGGGTTTGTTTTCGGGTCTTTAAGTAAAAATTTCAATAGCGGATTTGGAGAGCTGCTTCATATTATCAGGGTGTTTTCGGATCTGTAAGTAAAATTCTTAATAGCGGATTTGGAGAGCTGCTTCATATTGTCATTTTGTTTGTTTGTTGTGGCTATGAAAGTTCTGATGGTGAAGTGTTGAAGGTAGTGACGGTGATAGTGGTACTTGATTGTTGATTGTTGTTAGAGATTATACACAATGTAGGGAAAGGATGGTACACTGTCCTGGCGTTGGCAGTTACGGCGGCGGTGACAGCGGTGGTGGTGGTGGTTGTTGTAATGATGCCAGTCATGGTGGAGGTCTTATACGCTTTCTGGTTGTGCTGGCACGAGTAGTGCTAGTATCAGTGATGAAGCTGGCCGTGCTGGAAGCGGCGCTCGTGCTCGATTTGTTGTTGTTTAAGAGCTTGTGAATGGGCCTAATGCTGGTTTTGCCAGATGCCCTAGTAGTGATGTAAGCTTACATGTACTAGGTTGCTTACGGCGTCCATAGTGCTGTGTATGCTTGTCATGCTGGTGGTGTTGGTGGTGCTGATAGTGGTGAAGGTGGTGATTGCGGTGCTCATTATTTGTATAGTGCTGGTCTTAGAGGTGGTCGCTGGGGTGGTTTTGTGGGCTTCCTGCTCGTCTTTGGCCAATTCGTGATTTTTGTGCCTTTTGGGAGTGTCTCCGTTTACTCTATATTGTATTGTGGATATCTTTCCATCGATTTGGTGCGCCGGTCATTCGAAGGTGCCGAGACATTTGTTTCTCTGAGCACAGCGGGCGTCAAAAGCTCCGTTTCACCCCATGCTAGCTCTATGCACGGCCATGTGAGTTGTGTGCCTGCTGAAACCCTACTTTTACTTGGGTGTGACTGCAATTTCGTTTTCCAGGTACTTAGACAGCAATCAGATCTTCTTTGTGTCTCCAACTGCCTTTTACGGACTCCACTCACTTGAGAAACTGTGAGTGTACATTCACACAGTATTTATTTGCATTGACGCAACATTTTTGAAGTAATGGCTCATCCTCTGTAGTGAATTGTATATACTCATACCGAGTGAGCTGCAGAACACAGCTAAATTTGACTTAGCCAAACTGTCATAGTGAAATGAACCATGGTGAACACACATTTCGCACGTTTAAAATTCAGGAATGCAAGTTGTCTGAATAGCTAGTAAACGTACTGGACCCATTGTGACACTACGTATTAGTTCCGCTCATGAACTCCCACAGCACGATAACCGGCACGATAACTATGGGTAATTATAGAAGGGTCGAGATTACTATGCTAGAGTTTCTTCTATGAATGAGACATATTCAGCTGACTGGCTCTTGCAAGTTGACAATTGATGGTTCTCAATCCAGAACGCTTTATTCTATTTTTTTAAGTCGAAGACCAATTTGAGTCTCGCATAATTTGAGACACTCAGGTTATATTATAAAACAATCTTTGGGCACACTTTGAAATACATTCTTTAGTAATGTTTTCTGTGCGGCTCGAACTTCTATTTTTGTCCTTCTCCAGATCACTAAGAAATAATAGTCTAACTAGACTGGAGCCAGATGTATTCGCTGTACTTACTCCAGAAACAGTCCTGTAAGTTCCAACACTTTAGAATTTGCGAAGATGATGGGAGGGGGGAGGGGGGGGGGACGAGCGTAAGCTGCACAGAAAAGGTATGGATAGCGATCCAGCACGTAAACATCTCTTTAGATTGTCCCACTGCATGGTCCCCACTCCCCAGTAATCTTGAATATATCCTGCATTGTTTGCATGCGAGAAGAATAACTGGGAACGAATGTTCGATAGTCGCTTGGAATAGGTTTGCTGGTATTGCAAATTTGCTGTAGTAGTACGAATTCTCGCTATTAAAGCACTTGTTTGTCTTTTCTGTACTCCGATAATTAATCGGTGTCGCTGATGTTTATCTTTCAGTATTATCAATGAAAACAATGTGCGCGGTGAGAATGCCTGTCCCATTACGACGGTCGCCTCCAGTAACTTACAGGCTGATGCAACAGCTATTGAGGCCAGAGGAAATAGTAAGTTCAGTCGTTGTGAAGAGCATCCAGTGATTGCGAGCAAGAATCCGGTATATTTTCTTGCACGTATCCGTCACGTTAACCAACACACGAAATTATTTCTATCGTCTTTTTGGGGCATTTTGTCGTTTAAACCCAAGACAAAACTACTAACCTGCTCATTAAGTTAAGTTCTCCTCATTTGTGCCTTTCGTTTTTCGCGTTGATACTAGTCTTGTCGTACACAGTATGTACAAGATTCCATCACGATAGTCACATCCCAACCAGATTAAATAATATTGACAATGTTACACTGGATTTCTTTGGGCTAGACCTAACCTGTGAAGACTCTCCCCCCCCCCTCCTTCCCAAACGCAGGGAGTAAACCTCCATACCTTTGCTTCAATTCTTTTAAAATAAGTTTCACTGTAATAATAATTATTGGTATTTCTGATCAAAGCCAGAGCAGGCAATCGGAGATGGCAAAAATAATTCTGATGAATTTCAACTTATTCCATGTTGTTAACTGCAGTGTTATCGCAATGTGGTACGGCAGCTCTCACATGTTTTAAATTAAACCAAGAGACGAGATTCGACTGCAGGTGTCCTCAAGGAACTGCATTCTTCAACCACAGTTGCAACGATAACTCAACATGCTCAAGCCAGCTCGGAAATTGCTCAAACTTCATCCAATGCGTCACGACCGGGATAAGCAGTCGTCTGAAATGTACCTGCCCAGAAGGCACTGAGATTCGTCCGTCGTTACAGTCAGATATAGCGTCACCTGAGTGCATTGTTGCTTGCAACAGCACTGAAGTACGTGATGAGCCGGGACAGTGCGTATGCGCTGATGGATATGCAGGTCAGGGGCCTTACTCTCTCTGTACCTCTCTCTTTTTCTCTCCCTCTCTCCCTTTCTCTGTCTCTGTCGGTCTCTGTCTCTCTCTCTCTTTTATTATAATCACTACCGCTATCATCGCCAAAACCTTAAAATTTTGCGTACTGAAATCCACAATCATAACAATTTCGGATTTCGATAATGGGGCTAGACTCCCAAGACGGTGAAAAGTGAAATCCTCCACAATGACAAACATAACAGTGACAACCTGGTGATTGGCCATTTCCCAATAAAATCGGAGTAACAGGTAGCAAGAAACACAAAGCTTTTCTGAAGTTGTGAACCAGTCCTTTACGAACGTAATCACACATACTGACTCATTCGGTTCTGCTTGAATCCTTTCTGCCTTCTTCCAAAATTCTCGCCCTATTACTTTAGTAGTAAGTGCCTGTCGTCTGCCACCAACACATTTTCCCATAGACCTTTTTTTAGTATAGATTGTATATGTTTTCTCAAGTCAAGTTCAAGCCTCACAATGCATTTGAAAAATACAAGACTGCCTACACTGGAGAAGAAATCAGAAAGGTGCATGTGTAAAATAAAGTGCTCGACTTTCCCTTTTCAGCACTCTCAACTGTACTACAGGCTGCTCCCGTTCCATTTCTCTCATACCTATTCCTTGCCTTTGGCTCTCTTTCTGTGCGTTTTCTCCAGGTGACGAATGTGACGATATTGATGAGTGTGATAATTCCACCCAGAGTTTATGTCCGCCGGAGCAGCTCTGCACAAACACAATCGGTTCTTACCAGTGTACATGTCGACGCAGAAATTTCAGTAACGAATCTTTATGCTTAGGTGAGTCGAAGACGCTGAAATTGTGTGTGATTAGAGATTGAGGCATACAATTACCTGAGTCTTTCGTCCTCTGTTCTCCGTTTTATCTATCTTGGCCAAGCAGCTTTATCGACACAGTAGTAATCACAATATTTAGACGTAATCGTTTGTCGCTCTCTTCTTCGAATTGCCATCTCATTGCTATGTCTATGTTCCACATAACTTGGGTTTATATGTATACAGGAGTATGTGCGTCAGACACCACCAGTGGGCAAGCGGGTACTCTGAACTGGGACCAAACCTTTGAAGGAGAAACCCTGACTATTCCCTGTCCGTCAGTACCCGATATGAATGCTTCTCGTCGCTGCGTCTTGTCGGAGGACAACGCCAGTAGGTCAAGTGCAATGTGGGGTGCAGTGGACAGTTCACAATGCCTGTCTGACCCGGAATACGATATCAGTGATTTATTATCGGTGAGCATTTTAGGAGGAATTAGAAAATATGAATATTTTCGATGATAAAAATAAGGCGGCGTCGAGACATGAAAATAAAAACGACATTCAAATCCTTTCATATTTTCCATTAGTGTCGTGGTATGAGTGCGCTCACTGTATTTTTGTATCGATATTTTCGATATTGAACTTAGTTTGTTCGAATTTTTGGCACAACTACTAGATGTGTGGATATGAGAGTTTTTGAACAATATCTTAGATGAATACGTAGTATATTTCGTCTGTTGTGTGCCTTCAGATTTCCATTAGCACCGATGATCCGGGGCAAATACTGTTTTTGAGCGAGAGCTTGCGAGATGTGACTGGAAATGTGTCGACGCTTACGAGAGACAATTTTATTCAAATCTCAGGATTCATGGAGAGGATGATGATGGCCGTGGTCCAGGGAACGTTTCCAAGCAATGACAAAACCCAGGTAACAGTCCATGCTCGTCGAACCTCTTTTAAAATAAAAACAATAAAATCATATTCGCCGGATCCGCGTCGGCATCGCTTGAATGTTCAGAAACACGCAAACTAGCCTTCTCATCCGCAGGCTACCACTATGCCAGTTCACCTTAGTGACCAATGCAGACCTCAAAAGTGAGTTAGGGAGACTTGGGGAGTCTTCTTAGAATTCATATCCGTCCAAATCCAAGATTTGCGTTAAATTGTGCACGTACAAAAATGAGAGAGCACCTGTAAGTGCCCAGATCTGTCCATTCGCGTTCCGGACACAGTAGATATTGTTAGCTTTTTACCGCGCACGGTAACTCCAACCGTCGGCCTGGCCCGATTTTGTGTGTTTTCAAGACATTGTTAGCATTTCGATTTCTGACGCAACAATCGACTTGTGACGAGCCCTAGTTGGAATCTCACCGCTTGCATTGTTGGATTTAACGAGAATGGTAGAATGCTAAGCATGTCTAGTGTTGCAGGCATCTACATTACAATCTGTTCTTTTGGTTCCCGGTGTACACTTGCAGATCTCAAAATCCATCGTGGGAACAGTGAGCAACGTCTTGAATGCGCCAATGGAAGCATTCGCGACTCAAGGAGCGGAAAGGTAAAATCGATGTCCACAGAATGGGCCAACTGACTTGCTTCCAAAGCTTTCAAACCATTGAAAAGAGAATTATCAGGCAGGTGATTTCTGTTGTGACAGGGAGAGTGGAAGCCTGAACACTCTACAGCACGACGGTTGTGAAAGATCGTGGTCTAGACAAGCATAAAGTTCACCAGTCCTTGGCTCCATGTGGCAAAGCAATGGCGGTTGTGTTCCGGATGGGACAATAAATACCTGATTTGCCATTGTGGTCCGATTGCGGAATCCATCGCTCAAATACTTGAGCTCAGATGGCGAGCCAAGGAAAATCGCATAACTTGTGCCCACAATTTCCACGTCTCAAATACTTGGTCAATGATTGGTACCCACTGGTTCTGTTTGGTTCGGAATTTCCTGACTCAAGTACCGGTATTTCGAGATTGGGTCAAGTCGAGAACCATCCAGCAGAACAAAGTGAATTATTGACTCTGACAAGAAATGCATCGGACACGTCGGTAGACTAATAAAAACAAATTGTAACATTATTTAAAAATCATGTTTATTTTGACTATTTAGGAGGGTAAGGTGGTTTCAAGATTTCCTTCAGAAACTTGTACAACGGCTTTCTACAGGCGATTTACACCATAAAGGGAACCTACCCGCAGATTTTGAGCGAAATCGAAGATATCGACTTGTGCACATACTGTGTTTTTCTCAGAAATATGACAAACCAGTTTCTGCTTCGGTTAGGAATTGTTGTTTAGTCCGCTGATATTATCAATATCTGCCGAATAAAACGGGATTTGGATCCTTTACAGCCATATCAGAGCTAAGTGAAGCATCCTTGGAATGTCCAGTAATCATGCATACATCTTAAAGTTTTGGTCAAGTCTGGAGCGATCAACAGAAATGAGAAACCATCAAACTGCAGCAACTATTTAACCAAATATTTATTCTTGGTCTTTTCAGAATTACACTCTCCATGGAGACCCTGGTGACATCTCTTAGCATATCCGCGGACGAAAGTATCGAAGCTATAGAGGAGAATGTTGGTTTCGTCGTCACATGTCCGGATGCTGTGAAAGAAAATGGGCCTGGCGTGGTCAATCAAACTGATGGATCTCGACGTTTCGGTGTCGACTTGGCAAGGCTTGGATCGATAGGTGAGTCCTTGGAAGCGCATGACTCTTCTTGTCAGACCTTCAATGTTGATCGCATCGTATCGTATAAAATCCGAGTGGTGCAATGAGACCCTTCTCCTTTATATAATTGTTTTTTCCTGCAGGCCATGATCTCAAATTCAAATTGCCAAGCGATCTGCTGGCTGCGGAGGGAATGCCCCCAGATCAAGGACGGCCCGTTGACTCATGTGCATCAAGGGCTCTGCAGCTAATCGTTTACAGACAAACCTCCCTGTTTCAGGACTCTCGCTATCAAGCCATCTTGGGAGGTGAAAACGGGTCTGTATCCAGAATTGTATCGGCTCAGATGGGCAACACTTCTCTACATAACCTATCGTCGCCGGTGTCAATATCTTTTGACATCAATAACACAGTGAGTGTAAACGTTCAGCACGCTCAGAACGACGATGTTGTTTGATTCGGCATTGTTCTTAGAACAAGTTAGTTTATAGATGCGCGTGCACATTGGCTGACAGGCAGCAGCCTAGCAGTAATCTGGCACGTAACGTAACAGCTGTGATGTCTGATGCAGCACTCCCAGTCACACTGCTACAGTAAGAGGGCGTAGAATAATCCAGTTCTGTAAGGCCAAAACAAATTATGACCTTGTTTCCGGTCGCCCGACCGGGCCACTTTTTCCCAAATTCTGAAACTTTTTTTTGGTCCCAAATGTATACAAACGGTGGCAATGTCATGTGTGCAAGTGCACTCAACGAGTCATAACTCAGTCAAATCTCAACCGAATTCCACAATCGAAACACCTACAAGGTAGCAGAGATTCTCAGCTGTCGGCGCGAGAACCTCCGGGGTCGATACGAGCTAGAATAACGGAGCTGGAAGGACTCGAACTGTTTGCTTGATTTCTCAGGATGTACGAAAACAGAAATACACCACATGCTGTACAAGAACAGTGAGTCAGTCACTTTGACATTGATCCTTGCCATGATATATGTACAATGTACATGTGTAGGTGCTCTTGTCCATCAATACCACAACGATTGAGGAACCAAAAAAAGTATCCAAAAAAAGTTTCATTCCGGCCGACCGAGTCTCCTTTTTCAGGGGTTGCCGACCGGAAACAAGCCTATTTTTTGTTTTGGCCTAATATCAAAACCCTGGTGAATTTGAATGCATTGCATCGCCCGAAATTAGTCCTTACGAATATCGCTTTGGGCCCGGTATTATTCTGTACAGTTCCGGAGTATAATTCCTGATTCCGCTTTGTCCTTGGCAGAAGAAATAATTATAATTCCATCCGAGTCAATTCTAGAGAATAATGCTTTTGGTGAAGACAAAATCATGAGTGCAGTTGAAGGATGAGCTCTTTCTTCACGGAGTTGTTGTTGCTTTTACTACTTTTTCGTGTTCCCTGCTAACCCCTACTTATTTTGATTTCCGTGGTTGGCTATCACCCACTCTCTCCCAATGGCCGGTGTTTTCACTGAGTCCTGAGATGTGGTAATAAATATTTGATATGAAGTTCACGTAATCAAGTAGCGTGCTCCACTGTCTGAAGAATGCTCAATACCCATCTAGAGCAGAGCCTTCTATGCGAGACAGAGATTGGAAGCTGTGTCATAACTCAGAGTTCCACGTATTCATACCATCATCAATGCCTGAACATCGTAGTAATGCGTGAAACTCAGAGTTGCGACACAGCTTCCAATCTCACTCTTATGTAATGTGAAGTTCAATTTCTTTGTACCATTCGAGTATCTCTTTGTGGTCTTACGTTGTGTATGTTTCAGTTTTTGCCGAGCGCCAATGTGAAATGTGTGTCCTGGGATTATTCGCTGGGTAAGTGCGTGCTACAGACTGTGGTGATGCAACTTGTTTTGTACTTGCAGTCGTAGGCTCCAAATTATCAAAGATTATGGCAGTCAGTGTCGTAATGAGAACCCCGGATATGTTACGTTGTTCCCACTTTTATTCCAACTATTTGAAAAACAGCGTTGTTTCAACAAGGTACACATGGTGAAGTGCTCACTCACTCTCAATTGTTTCGACAGGAAACGGTGTTTATCCAGAGACGATAGCTCTAGTCAGTTGCTACATCAGTCACTATTATTACAAGTTTTAAATCATGGGCCTCCTGGCCAGTGAGCCGTGTAACGGAGAGATTAACAACCGACCAGAGCTGTGGTCATACTGGGAAAACGCATGTGTAATAATTATAAAAAAAGAATACGCCAATATTGGCTCGAAGCAAAGAATCCATGAGGGCAGCTTGCACTATAATTATTATCATAGATTGAAATGACTACAAGTAGCACACATTTTCTTGTCTTGCATAACAGGTGGCTGGAGTGAATATGGCTGCAGCTTGCGTGAGGTCGTGAACGGTTCGGCAACATGCGAGTGCAACCATCTAACACACTTCGCAATTCTCGTGGTAAGTCAAGAAAAAACTTATAATTAGGTTGGGTGCACACACGTACTGAAGTACACCTTTAATCAGCTCTACTCTTTTTAGGATAAATACTATGAAATATTCAGGGGTCGAGTACTGGCAGGCTCGTTCCCATTGTATTTTTACGATATCTGGCATAAACCCAGGAGGAAGATCCCAGGGTCGCTATTAGTGGCTTGTCAAAATTAGGACTGAAAAGATATGCCTACACCCAAGAGCAGTGGTCCGATATTCTCAAAAATTGAATATTGCTCCATATTCTAAGGGCTTTCCCTGTAGTGGATGCAGGAGAGCATGCCAGGGTGAGATTTACATGTTATTTCCTCCTCATAAAAATAATAGAAAAGGTCCCCATTTTTAGAAGAAATTCTGACGAGGGGCGACTGGACCGAAAGGTCGATAATTTTATCAACATCACAATAAAGAATTTGCAATCCAGCGCATGCGCAGGTCATGAATAGTAACTGAATAGAGCAGTAGTCAGTTGACAACCCCCACCCCCCTCCCTGTTTCATAATGCAGTTGCGAGATGGCCACAACTTTCTTACTTCGAAGTAGTTATAACAATAATTATAGCAGAATTACTGTTTCAGAACAGTTTTGCAAAGCAAGAAAGCTGAAAATTGTCCTTTGTTCCTTCTTCCTGCAGACTCGCGCACACCTGGCTGATACGATTCCCGCTGCCATTCTGACATACGTCTCGTACATTGGCTGTGGACTGTCAATCTTGGGAGTCACCGCCACACTAGTGACCATTCTAGCAATCAGGTACTGTGGATGCCCAAGTAAAGTAATAAATAATATTATCATGCAATACAATAGTCCGGAATAGCGCGAGCTCCAGTGTGGGGAGCAAACCCTTTCTTATGCAATACAATACATTAGAAAAAGAGACAACAGTGCACGTCAATAGACCTGTGGAATGGAGCTGTACTTGTTCTATAGTGCACACCTCAATTGTTTCGCATTTTTCGGGTGAAATAAGTGAAAAAATCTGTCGCTAATGGTCTGATACGTTTTTGTTCTGCTTTGCCATCTAGGAAACTCCGAACAAAAGCCCACCAAAAGATGGTGTTTGGACTCTGTATTTCGCTACTGGCAGTGCTGATACTCTTTCTGTTTGCGGAACAAGTCGTCAGTGACACCATCATCTGCAAGGGAATCGCAATGGGGCTTCACTACTTCTTGCTGTCGGCGTTCTGTTTCGCTGCGGCCGATGCTACGTATTTGCACCGGCAGATCGTGCGAGTAATAGCCATCAGCAAAGGGGTCTTCACAGTGAAGCGATCCTTGCTGTTTGCACTGGGTAAGTCACGTATTCAGCTGATCTAATCGGCGGTGAATTTCATGACGTTTCCATCAGCTGCATTAATCGACACTCGATTTGGAACGAAGATATGAAAATTTGTGGCGGCAGTTTATTCCAACATATTTTCTTGATGTTTCCGGGCGAAGGCACTGTTTCTGATCATGAACCGCAGTGTTCCAACGATCTAGCCTTGCCCCTAATGTTGCAGTGTGCAGTTCACCTCCAAAGCGTTAACCTTTTTGTCTGCCTACAAATAGACTGCACAAAAAACTATGGAGTGGGTAATGTTGTTATGGATAATGTTCAGTAATGGCTTACCAAGAGAGAGAGAACTGGTTGATGTGCTGTCGTTCTCGTCTGCAGGTGTGCCTTTGGTGATTGTAGGCGCAACAGCAGGCGCGACTGGGACAAGCGTATATGGGCGCGGCACTGATATGAACTTGTATGTATGAGAACCCTTGAGTGCTAGAAATAAATATGGGAAAATCAAGGGGATTGAAATCAGGTTCATGTATATGTAAAATTTAGATTAAATGAATACGATGTGTAGATTATTAAAATGTGCTTTGACATGTGATGTTTGAATTCTTGAAGGACAATACGAGTTTCTGGGACCCTCGAGGTGCAAGGGGCAACATATATTCCAAATAAATTGATACTTTAGTTGAATGGTTTTTCACCCTGAAGTTGGGCCATGCCCGAAAATTTGGTGCATTCCATTTATATATAATATTATTTATTCTTATCTCTTTTGGAAGTGAAGTGACCTTATGCAGCGAAGAGAACGTAGTTGGAGAGTTTGAAGTGAGGTACCCTGTAATGTATGATTGGCTGCAATGGAGTCTCCGAGTGCTTAGAAAAATTGATACTAGTTAAAACTATGTTCATCTTGCACTGCCAGTGTTTGCAATAGGTCACAAAAAGTTCAGAATCCTGCTGACACAAAATGTACCTCTTTTCTGTGCTATTTTTCCACAGCTGTTGGATCCATAGCAGAGTTTACTTCTTCGGCACTTTCATAGGTCCACTCGTGTTAATCATGCTGTACAATGCTACTATTCTGGCTACCGTGACGCGTGCTCTGATGGGAGGCAAGGGCAAGGTAGCCAGCATGAAGAAGGCCAAACGCAATGACGGCGTTCGTATGGCGCGCGTAGTCCTCTCATTGTCCATGCTGCTTGGCCTAACCTGGATAAGTGCTTTCGTAATGTTGCTAACGAACAGCATAGTTGTGCAGTACGTATTCACCATCTTCAACACCCTACAGGGCTTCGCTATATTCGTTCATACGATACTTGATAAAGACGTACGCAAAGGATGGTCGGACGTTCTCTTGCAACGTAGAAAGTCGACCAGTGTTCGTGGAGCCCTATACTATACCTCACATGTGAATCGACAAGTGGACATGTTTGAGACACGAACGACCAGTATGCATGGAAGTAGGCGCTCTACCTCAGCGCGTTCACTACCAGAGCGGGTTATCATAGCAAGCGCAGCGAAGAACAACAGTTCCATCTCCTCTACAGTTGAACTACCTGTATCTCTGAAACGGCCAGCAAGTCGAAGTGATAGCATGGGGAAACAGGAGTTTCAGCCACTATGGGAAGAGCAAATTCAGGGCTTTTCACCGCCACATTATCACGGAGGCCTTGCTAAACCTCAATCATCACAATCACCACTCTCCTATGCAGCTGGAAAAAGTAGCTACTCATTTGTGAGCAGTCCGTGGAGATCGATTCTCGAGCCATACCAGGAAAAGAAGTCACCTCTAGCTCTAGATCCAGATACCTACCAGATCTCTCCTGAGCATCATAAAGAGCCTTCGCGTGACAGGCGCTACTCCTCCATCAGCATCACAAGCAGTGTATAAGATACAGTGAAGCCTGTCTAAAACGACGAGGGACCTTCAAAATGTGGTCTTTGTTGCCAGATGGTCTCCTTAGTACCCACGGTCATTTGACTGGAAATAGTATCCTTTGATCCTGGTTTCGGTGGTCTTCTTGGACAGGTGGTCGCCTTATCCAAGTGGTCGCCTTCACAGGTTTTACTGTTCAAGGAATAAGCCGCATAGGGAAGAAAAACACAGCACACCTCAGCGGTTCTACTCAGCACCTCAAGTCACATAGCACCCGACATAAATTCAACTCATTCCAGCTCAGAGAACAACACGAACGATTTGGATGTCAACCACTTGAACACTACGTGCGTAATTTTCCAGCTGCCATCCACTTTAATACATGTATTTAATACTTGAATAACAACCGGCATCAATGATATTAATACGATGACTAAATTTTCGTCACCGCCATACCCACCACACGCAGACACAGAAAGTAACCCCAAAGCTTTCTACCACTACCAACATCTATGCCTGATTCCATGGCAGTCTGAGGCTCATAAAACTAAACGCTATGGTTCTGTTATCCTTTCTTGTCTTGCCCCCAATACCGTAACGACATGTAAAAAAAGCAAGTGCGTACGGCCATAGAAGCCGTGCTTCAACCATGTTTCTAGTATTCAACCATGTTCTCTATCCAAAATATTCTTCTACGTAAACATCATCAGTTTCCACTGTGCTGTGCACACGACCACGCATGCGCTGTGTCTGATTTGAGAGGGCCAATTTCCTTCCTGCTCATCAAGTGATTTGCAAATTGCTTTCGAGGCTGTAAGGCATCTTATTTGTGTTGTTGTACATGATCATGATTTTTAGATCAATGCCGCCTTCGAGGTATGTAAGTTGGCACCAACAATACCAGCATGTTCTTCAATTTTATTGAACTTACTTGGTAATTTTTATATCAGTTGTCTGAGGATTGCCTTAGCTTTGCTATGTGCATGAAACGCAGCGTTACAACAATGACCTAGCCGGCGGTCTCTGTTCTCTTCTGTCTTTGTGGTAAATTTTGTTACTGTTCCCTCAAGAGGTACACAAAGGAAGTAAATAGGGCTATTTTCGTTGTTACTCAGAGTTTCATGGCAAAAACCAATCATCAGACAACATAAGGAGATTAGAAAAAGCGCAGGTATATGAAGGCAAGCAGAGGAGATAGAATAGTTCAGAGCAGACAGTATGATAATCAACACCTCCCAGAGGCAGTATGCTCTGACGTACCAGAATCAACAGGTGTTGGGTGCCTATGGTGAAAAAAACAAAGGAGCCAGCGACAAGACCAACAAGAAGACGTATGGCTTCAAGAGCATGAACTGCCCACCCCATATAGAGCAGTTAAGAGCATTTGAGGACGACATGTACCATGGTAGAATTTTCTTTCCAACGTGCCTCGAACCAGCTCCCGGACAGAATGAGGAAGGTTAGCCCTCGGACTTACGGCCCTCGGGCTAACCTCTCGGGGCAATACTATGCCATAAGGCCCTCGCAACCATGCGAGAACATACACTTAGTGCATATGTTGCGCACAATCTGAGAATTTGGGCAATCTGAGAATTTGCGCAATCTGAGAATTCCCAGATTGCGCAGACCAGGCACGGTGAAACCGTGTGCCTGAGCTTCTCCGAGACTTCTGGGAGCACACTCAAGCATGTTTGGGGCACAATTCCAGTGTGTGGTTCGTGCAATCTGTGGATTTCTCTCAAAACCTGAAGAGCACAGCGAATTCATGTGGGGCACAATCTGCTAGTGCAATCAGTGGATTTCGTTGAAAATCGTGAAGAGCACGGCGAATCCAAGTGGGGGCAATCTGTGCATTTCGTTGAAAAACATGGGTAGCACAGCGAATCTGTGTGGGGCGGAACCCTTGGCCCGAGCTGTGAAAAAAAGAACGAGGAGCACAGCGAATCCATGAGGGTTGCAATATGTGGGCGCAGTCTGTGGATTTCGTGGGAAAAAACATGAAGAACACAGCGACTTCGTTTTCAGCGAAATCGGGCCACAGATTGCCGCCACACGGATTCACTGTGTTCTTTATGATTTTCTGCGAAGTCCACAGGTTGCACCCACAGACTGCGCTCCACATTAATTCGTTGTGCCCTTGAGGTTTTGAGAGAAATCCACAGATTGCACGAACGGCGCACGTGAATTTTGCACCACACGTACTTTGTACTTGGGTGCTGTAAAAACCGGAAAGTTTAACGTTTTGTAATTTTGGCATGATAACGTGCAGAAACTTTAACGACGGCTACCTGGCCACCCATCTGCATGCCCATCTTTACACAGACATCCAGCGATAACGTTTTTTTTCAAATAACGAAAAATAATTGGTCGTTAAAACGTTAGACTTTGTGACTCGTTAGACTTTCCGGTTTTACAGTATACGGGTACCGCTTGTGTACATGTGCTTCCAGAAGTCTCGCAGAAGGTCAGGCACGCTGATTCACCGTGCCTGGTCTCGTGCCACAAATATTATCGTGTCACCGCAGATGCAGATTGCGCAGGCAATCTGCCCAATCTGGGAATTCTCAGAGTGCGCAAATTCTCAGATTGCGCGGAACATATACAGTCACTTATCACTCTCTTAGTATTGACTCCCATTGATTTTCGCTATACCTAAGCAGTCAAATATTCCTGCATATTTGAGTCCTTATGGGCTACATTGACCGCTTATATTTGACTGCTTAGGGGTTGCGCAGTTGAACGGTGCCTAGTGCAGCATGGTCACGCATGAGTATGTGATGGTGCAACAGTTGTGCAATCATAAAACCGGGATTCATGACGGTATCGTTCTGGAATTTGAAATACGGACTGTTTGTCGTGATAAATCCAATATTGACTTCGTACTTTGTAAGTATCTCTTTGTCTGTCACCAGTTAATCCTATATTTTATACATGTAGGAGTTGACTTCAAGACGCATTTGCAGCCTCGAAAATTGTCGAAATGGAAGCAATGTTATTGAAGATGCATTTCGAGCTTTCCAACAATGTATCTCTTTCTTTAAAATGAATGAATAGAGGTTACCCAATGGCTAGGACCCCCAGGAAATGTCTCTGCGTGCAATTATTGCTGATGAATTGCAATATTAAGCCGTAGAAAAAGACTAGGAGTGGAATAGATGAATGTTAGCACCATCCTAGCATTGAAGTCGTGTTGCAAAGTGCTCTCAGATCAATATGAACTAAAGACACTACACGTATGAGGCATTTACTAAATCAGTTGTGTTCAAGTACTTGTATGTACACATATTAATAGTGGAATACTCTTGGGGCACTAGCCTAGGAGGTGCTTCTTCTTTACCCATAGATGCATAGAATGTTTTGTTAGCTCTATATGGGCCATATCTAGGCTATATTGCCAACTGGGGTTTTTATTGGCAGGGGAAACTGGGAAGTACAAAACCAATTTTTGAAGAGGCCACATCTTACAATGTACATGTACATGTACATGTTATAAGAATTTGAACATTCTGGACACCTTTGCACGAGAAGTTCTGCTACACCAAAAGCAAAGCCCTTGTGCTGGTGAAACTTGGCAGACATCATCTCTGATAAACATAAATAAAATCGTAAAAGACCTCCGCTTTGCCTCGGTCTTTTACTCTGCTTTTATTTCCTATATTGACCTCATACTCAGTGAATATTAGATACGTAATGTGTGGGAAGACGCGCTCGCGCCCGAAACGACTTGCGCGCCCCCCAAAAGTGTGTGGCCCTTAGCAGGGGGAAACCCCTACAGTGTGTGTGAACACTTATCAACGATTTAGACTATGACAATGATTGTATAGCTGTTTTTCTGAGCTCAAGACAGTTGACAACTTTGGGCGCGTTCGAATTATCACTCTTTGACTTTTCGAGGAGTTTCGTTTTTCTGAAGACGTGGCCTTATTGGCCTCTTCAGGAAACGAAGCTCCTCGAAACTCCTCGAAACTCCTCAGCCTCATCCGATGGGAGAGGTGGATTAGTTCCGAAGAGTTTAGAATAGGTACGTAACGTTGCACGTGAAAATGGTCGATCTGATCGGACCTCATCATCGCCATGACAATTCCACTGAAAAACTCTAAGATGATAGAAACCGTTCTAATAAGACACTTCAACTAATCTCTTTTAAGCATTTGTTTGAACAGTTGATGGAGATAATTCGAACACTTCCTAAACGTGTCCAAGCGGCCTGAGTAAAAGTACATAGTACTTCGAGGTGCGTGTGTCCTTTTGTGCGCTGCACTGTCCCCAGCTCTGCTACTCGCCACAAGAACGCATTGACTGGACGAGAGTAACACTGTTGTTGTCGTTCGCTGCATGTAGCACTACAAAGTCATGGAAATGTGTGCTTGTGCGAGTCGTACCTGCGGTCCGCTTCGGCACTGCCACGTATCAAATATAATAATTAAATGGTTTGGAACACTGGTCCCAGTCGCACCAGGCACGGATGACTGCACTGTGGCATACGCGTGACTCATGCCTCCTTTTCAGATCCTGCTATTATTCCCCTCGTTCCTCAATGCAGTGCATGTGCACGTACAATGTAGTTCGTTTGCTGACCGACATCGCTGCAGGTGTGGGGGCATAACCATGATTAACACCAGTAAAGAACATAACGAGTCACCAACCACTGAACCAGTCCATGCATCAAAATTAATTATGTTGACAACACAGAATCTTCGTCTGTGCAGCCTGTCACTGGATCGCATTTGCGGGAATTCCCCATAATGATTCCCGTCCCCATTAGTACGCGCATACGGCTGTTCAGTGTTGTCAGCTATCGTGTGATGGACATGGCGAATAACATGACGCTGGCGAGCACAGGCACACATGACTTACTTTGTACTTACTACTCTTTCCTGCATGTGCCGCGCCTCGACTGGCATTATAAAATAAGGCAGAGGAATATTGTGCTACCTCAGTGCAAAGATCTCTTCTCCAGACGAATGCTTGCATAAAATTTATGTCTAGTTTCTCCTGTTCCAGTGCACCAGCGGGACGTGGGTTTTCCAGCAGAATTTAAAATAGTTCTAGGTAAGCGTAGCGTTTGTGGGTGAGCGAAATCAAGAATCCTTCAGAGAGGGCAATTTCACTGTGTACCTACTGCAACCTAGTGTGTCATCAGCGACTGTCACTCACCGACGTGGTCTGTAGTGTAGACTAAGTATTTAAACAGTATGGCATGTACAAGTGACTATAGACCGTGTCCCGCTGGTCGCAAACCAGACAGGACAATTGTCCTGATGGGAAAAACAGGCAATGGAAAGTCTGCCGTGGCAAACGTACTGGCGGGAGATTATAACGGTGGCCTCTTCCCCGAATCCAGCAACCCTGCGAGTGAAACGAGTGGTTTGCCGACGCACACCGTTCTAGTGTCGTACGCTGGCAAAGACCATGCCATCAAGATTGTGGATACGATCGGCTACGGGGACACATCCTTGTCGGAGAAAGATGTCTTGAACGCACTGGCCAAGGTGGCTCAGACGTGCACCGAGGGAATCAATCAGATTCTCTTTGTCACACGCGGTCGATATACCCAGGAGGATAAAACCACCATGGATGCGATGATGAACGTGATCTTTCAGCCCGACGTGGCCAAGTTCTCTACTATCGTGCGCACTGCAACACCCGCCAAAGAACTGGACGAAGCTGTGGTAGCTGCCAAGACTGCCGAGTATCGCCAAGAGATGATAACGCTGCATCCGAATCTCGTCCAGATCAATACCTTTCTCATGATCAGCAACCCGGACGATGGTGACGAACGCAGTATGCAGATGCGCCGACGCTCTCGCAAGACTCTTCTCGATCACGTGATCCTGCATTACATGCAGTGCTATGCGACTCCAAGTTACACCAGTGCTGTAGCAAGGGTCAACAAACACCTGAACGCACAAACTGCCCAGCAAGAGGAACAGAAGCGCCTCCAACACGAGCTAAAGGCCAGAGAGGCGGAGCAGGAGAGACTTCGGCAGGTGCAGGAAAGAAAGGTCCTGAAAATGCAGCGTGTCAATGAGCAGCTCCGACGAAAGGAAGCAGCGTCGCAGGGTGGTGACGACTGCATCATCTTGTGATCTCTCCCTGCTCCAGAGTGTAAAGAGCTACTGGATGGTACGGCGGTGGACTGTACGTTGTGTTCCAATTCGTTGTTGCATTGTCTTCGTCTCATCGTGCCAGAAACATGGCATAGGCTATAGTTTATACTTGTCCATGTACTTGAGAATTCACGAATAGCTTATTCCATGTACATTGTATCAGTGTCAGTAAGAGCACTTGAGCACTGCTGCAAGTCAAGGGCAACTCTGCTTGGTGACAGTATTACATGTACATGTATATGCATACAGTAGTAGTGATTTGGTGCATTCCTGACTGTGCGTAAAGCTCCTAAAATAATTATTGCCCAAGATCGTGGAACTGTACATATATGTACAAGTATTTGAGTGTGATATATTGTGTATATTGAACTTTCATTCCTTCCTGTTATGTTAACCGGCAGTCTTTTCTCACCTGAACCGGAAATAGTCAGCGCCATTGTAGCACCATGTGGTACATGTACATGTACAATGTACAGTGTAAGTCCAGGCGCCTCAGATTCCAAATTTTATCAAAAGTCTCTTGTGTTCGCATCGTGAAAACTCTTTTCTCGTTTTCCGGTTCGCTACTTTACTTTTTCTTCCTATTTTAAAAGGTGCGAATTTGTTTTTGTTGTTCGGTTCTGCTGCATTGCCGCCCTTCTTGTCAAATAAACTGTTGGCAATGACAGTACATGTACATGTATTTGAAGTGGCATGCCTGGGCAGACGTTGAGCACATTAGAAGAGAAAATAATGAAAGGCCCGCAAATCCAAGCCAGTCCATGTCATGTCATGATTTTGTTGTTGTTGTTGTTGTTGTAGAAGTTTATTTAACGTCGCACCACAAACAGGCGATTTCGCGTCCTTTGATACATGTGGACGACAGAAGGAATGAGAGAGGGGGGGGGGGGGCAGAAGTATGGAGAGAGGAAGGGTAGAAATAAATAAGCAATCAACCTCAGGGCTACACCAAAGCAAAAACGGAATGGGAACATACTATATACAAAATAGCTTCATACATATATTGCAAAACACGTTTACTATTCTTCAGTCCGCTATACCACAGAAACACACTAGCCGAAAAGCATTTAAACGGAGCCATGATGCGCTTTTAGCAGGGCACAGAACTGAAGGTGGCTGGGCTCGGAACGGAGATCAGGCGGGAGCTGGTTCCACAGGACTGCGCCGATGAACTGCATGGTCGCTCGACCCGCAGGACCGGGCCAAAATGGTACTCGAACGAGGTGATGTGCTGCTCCCCGAGTGCGGTCACCAGTAACTCTCACGAAGAAGCTGGTGAAGAGGGAGCTAGCTCGGGAGAACAGACAACGACGGACAAAGATGAGGAGCTTAATGTTAAACATGTCCTCCAGGGTGGTGAGGCAGAGCTGTTCAAAGATCGGGCTCGTGCGCGACCACGGTGGCAGACCGAAGAAGCCGCGGATAGCGCACTTCGTTAGACGTGTGAGGGGCTCCATGTTGCCAATTTGAAGTGACGGATAAAAGGCGTTGGAAGCGTACGACAACCTACCCTGGATCATCGACCTGTAAAACAGGATCTTTGACGCCAGGGTGAGGCTTCGGCGGCTCCGCCACAGCGCACCTACTGACTTCCGCACCTGCTGGATTGTGTGATTGACGTGAGGCTCCCAGGAGAGCTGCCCATCTACCATTACGCCCAGGTACCGCGCTTGTTCCACAACTGCAAGGGCTGCATTCCCACAGCGAATTCGAATGTTATCTGTGTCAGGGGCTGGGCCTCTTGGGGTAATCAACAGAGCTTGCGTTTTCTTTTGGTTCAGCATTAGCCCGCGGTCCTCCAACCACTGCGACAGGCCAGTGATGGCTGTGCTTAGAGAAGAGCACACTTGTTCGCAACTGCCTGATTTTCTGAATGGAGTGCAATACTTGACTAGCATGCTGGCTCTGAGCACAATTCGGGTGTCCTGTGAGCAACACTGGGAAAGGAGAACAGCTCCATCGAGTACGGGTAGAATGCCAGGATGTGCATGCAGAACATGCTCACGACTGGACTTCAGAAGCAGAATGGTTGTATGAAGTTTCTCTCTCCCTTGCCAGTCCTTATTGTGAGTAGCCGTGGTGCAAGGGTAGTAAGTGACAAGTTGCAGACATAGAGCAAGAAAACATGAAATGTCGATCTATGCACGTAACACTATTTTCAGGACCATCATTAGGTTCATATTCTGGTTCTACGGGCTATGTTTCTGAATGCTTGCGAAAATGCTCGATACCACGAGGGTAGAGCGCATGGTGTTACATGTACAAACGGCTCCATTGTGCATGATTGTGTTTCTGCCTGTCCATTTGTCGCACCGCTGGATTCTTGCCCTCTGCAAGCCGCCGTCGTGATTCCCTGGCGAGTTGAGGTGGAGCCCTGCTTTTGTGATGAGTAAAGGCGAAGGAACGACGGATAGTGCAGTTCAATAAGATTCAGGAGAAGAGCCTTCACAGGGGTGATTCTCCCTAGTGCACGCTACGGAATGATTACATAATTGCCGGTACTACAAGTATTCAGTGGCTTTGAGGATAAAATACGAAAAAGTGGTTGCGACGTCGGCGATGATTTTTTTAGGAATGGGTTTGCTCCCGCTGTGGAGCTCGTGAGGGGTGAATTCCCCGAAACACTGTGTATTGAGCAGGGAATGGTGCTTTCTTGCAGGTTTGCCGAGTCGAAGGTTCAATGGACTTCTCGTGTGCTCAAGATGGCAGTCGTGAGTCAGTCAAGTGTCAAGTCAAGTCGGCGGAACAGCGCGAGCTCCGGGGTGGGAGCAAACCCATTTGAGGATATTATGATAACGGAAAAATCTGAAGAAAGAGCTGACTGGCACTGGTTTGTGGTTCATGCATCGTGCAAGGACAGTGATGAACCAGCTCATGCAACCGCGGTGTTTCACCTGCTGATGAAGGTACATTAGCCGAATACAGCAGCAGGGGTGTACAACGGAACGTCAACTACAACTAGGCATGTACACATGTACCATGTTCACAGTAACGAGCGTTTCCAGTTATCTTAGACTAGAGTGCTCAACACCACAAGGATAGAGCAACGCCACAGAGGTAGAAGAGAGCAGAGAGCAAAGACAACCGGCTAGGTTATTGTTGTAGCTCTGCGTTTCATGCACATACACGAAGCAGCGCTAAGGTAATCATCAGACAACTGATAATTTTATTTATTTATTTATTCTTCTCTTTAATGTGCATGTTTGCCCTCAGTTCGTGGTTGCTTTCACCCTCACTTCCTTGTATTGGCTATTATCATTATGTGCCATGAAGTGCAGACAGTAAATAAATTGAATAAATAAAATCTGCTGTACAGTGTTCACGTTCGTTGCGTGACCCACTGTGCTTCTACTAAAACATGCGAAACATAGAGGAAAGTGGGGGAAGTTGGTTAGTGCACCTGCGCTGAAGCGCCAACCAACACCATACCCAGAATCTGCTTGTCAATGACACTGTAAGCTCTTTTTCACCGCTGTCGAGCGCACGCATGGCAGGAACAAAAATATAAAACCTGACATGCGTCAGTGGCATCTCAATGACGGGAAAGTCCCTGGCATCATTCAACATGGTGAGCGCGAAGCGAAAATGTAACTACACAGTCAGTACTACAGTACATGTAGTACACAACACTGCACAACACTGCACTGACACTGCACTGACACTGCACTGACACTGTCAGCTCTTTTTCACCGCTCTCACTCAGGCGCACGGCAGGGACAAAACGAAAAAAACACTTGACTTGCGTCCGTGAGATTTCAATGACCATGATGACAGGGAAGTCCCTGGCATCATTCTACTTGATTCATGGTGAGCGCAAGGCCAGAATATAACTACACAGCACACAACACTGCACGATTATGTCTGTTAGCACGACTACATGTTCCAGTAAGTTATCTCGGTACTAGTATCATTGCATTGCGTTTGTTAGTCTTTGCCTTTTCCGACTTTTGGGGTGCCCGTTGCCGAACGTGCTGGTGTCTCGTTAGGTGCTTGATGGTACAGTACCGTGATTCACTCGACACCGTATTTTAGTCAAGCTCAACAAAATGTGAGAACACGAATTGTACATGTTCTAGTACGTGCACTAGTAGTAGCACTTGGTTCTACTTTTCGGGATGACCTTTAGTCCATCACCAATACGGAGATATCCGTTCACCTAACCAATAGTACATAAAACCCAGAGTGTGCAGCTTGGGACCTTTTCTGCTATGGGTGTGTCTGTCAGTGTCACGGCGGAATTCCGTGATTACATCATATTTGGCGCAGATCTGAGGCGGGAAATGGCGTAGTGCGTACAACTGACCTGCAGTTGTGCAGAAAGAGACCTGCTTGAATCCTGCTTGTACGCACTACATCACTAAAATGATGTAATCACGGAATTCCGCCGTGACAGCAACCCATCCGAGGTGCACACTCTGATTTTCATGTACTCTTGATCTAACCCATCTGTTGCTTGGATATCGCTGGAGAAAGTTCGACCACGGGGAGGAGATACAAGGAGATACATGTACTCGTAGTCAAAAATCACCTTTAGGTTTTGATGGGACTTTCCCCGCAAGAATGCTCCTGAAACTGATAGTTGTGGTGTGTTTAATAGCAGCACTACGATCATGTGCTGGTTGTCAGTGTGGTCTGACGACATCACAACACCTATTACTCATCCTCTGCCACCCGCCAGCGAAGCCGATCAAGATACAGGGTTGCCAGGGTATAATTTACTATAAAAGCACAAAATTTCAACGGCTACTTCAGAACGATTTCAGAGCTATTTACAGCCGCCTAGAGTCACTAACTTGTGAACTATTGGCTCTCAGTCGAATAGGTCTTTAGCGAGAACATCCACTGTCCTGCATACTTGTTCTTCAAGGCCCCCGGGTACTAGTATTCAGTTGACTAGGTTGACGCAAGGTTGTGATGGACAACTTCGACGACTACAGACCGTGTCCGGATGGAAGGGAAATTGATCGCACGATTGTCCTAATGGGTCGGACAGGCAAGGGCAAGTCCACTCTGGCAAACGTCATTGCCGGTCGATACAAGGGTGACTTGTTCCCGGAGTCCAGCTCTCCGACCAGCAAGACCGAGGGCTTACCGACGCACACCGTCCTTGTGCCGTACGCAGGCCGCGAGTACGCAGTGAAGATCATCGACACCATCGGATTCTGCGACAACCGCTTCACGGAGGAGCAGGTGCTACTGGAGCTTGCGCATCTGGCACACAAGTGCAGCGGCGGGATCAACCAGATTATCTTCGTCACCAACGGCCGATTCACCCAGGAAGAGCGACAGGCCTCCGATTCTGTCATTGACGTGATCTTTCAGCCGCAAGTGGCGCCCTTTTGCACCCTGGTTCGCACGCGAACGCCGGGCGGGGAGCTGCGAGAAGACGTCATCTCGGCCAAGACACAGGCCTACAAGGAGGAGTCGGTCGCTCTGCACCCCAGCCTGGGGCGCATCAACACTTTCCTCATGGTCAGCAACCCAGACGACGGAGATGACCACAGTTACAAGGTACGCAGCAGAACTCGAAAGCGTATGGTCGAGCATATCATTTTGCATTACCAGGCTGTTTACGTTCCACCTCTGTTTGCCGAAGTCAAGGGCCGGATCGATGGCCATATTCAGGAGAAGACCGCGACCGAGCGCAAACTCCAGCAGCTAGAGGAGGACCTGGCGGCGGCGCGCATCAGCAAGGAGGATTACGAAAAGCAGAACGCTGCGGAGTTGGCAGAGCTCAAGCGCATCAATGGCGAGCTGACTTCAAAGGTCAAGAAGGAAATGCCGTGGTGGAAAACAGCCTTGAACATGTTCACACAAGTAGCTAGCTCAGTTTTATTTGGACCAGTAGGAGGCAAAGCAATTAGCTCCGCGCTTTTTCCTGCGTAACTTGTGTGGCTGGTCTCGTCAGGTTCTCACCGCTGTTTGAATTATAATTCTACCTGACAAATCCTCTCATTGATTATGGTGGTGAAGAGTTTGAAATTTGAAGTCTTTCCTAGCCCTAATAAGTGTCCTGTCTGCGAGAGACGTACTGAGAAATAATACTGTCAGTGTGTACATAATATACCTCAGATGATTCGACCAAGAACCATTCCTGCACGTAGGCCTCTTTGCCGCCGCATCGTGCAATGTCTTTGCTCTGTAGATCCACTCCTGATAGGGATGAACTCCTCATTTGTATTCACTAGAATGCGCAGAAGTATTTTGGTTGTGTGTCCCCAAGTAATGTAATTTATGTGGCAGGAGAATACTGCGTGTTCATAAAGTTAATAGGTAGGTTTAGTAGCACACGCTGATACGAACAGTCGAATACACAGTTGAACTTTAGAACAGAATTGTACCTCTCTCACCAGCTCCTACATGAGATCTGTTTAGTTTTCTGTCCTACTGATCACAAGACTATAATAATAGTTATATTCACAGTTGTTTCGTTTCACAAGTACTCGGTCAGCCGTGCCAGCGTTTCCTAAGTTCTTGTGGCTTCTTGAAATGCAATCATGTACATTGTGCAGGTGCGCTGTACCTGCTAATGCTGTTTTCCTGCCTGTTGACATGCGACACTGCTAATATACATTGGCCTCGTTTTAAGCTAAATACTAGTGTCTTGATTTGCTTCGATCTGAACACTCGCTGTCACGACACTGTACATACATGTACCTGAAGAAAGTTTATGAATTACAGCTTTATTTCTGCACCTCGTAGCATGTCAAGACAGCCAATTGAATTGAGGAGAGGGTGAGACCAACCACGGAAGAAGATAAAAAAAAGAAAAGAAAAGCACGTGCACAAAAGGGGTAGGGATTAGCAAGTTACAAAGCAATGGGACGCCCAGCGATCTATGCAGCGGAAGGGGCCCATGATAACAGCCTTTCAAGTAACAGTTGCGAAGACTCCACTGTCCGTAGCCAGAAGCCATCGGATTGGGAGCATTCATGTTCACTTTACCATGGTAACCCGCACGCTCAAAAACCATGATTCGCGTCTCAATACACTGTCTATGTACGCACGCGAGGTGTCCAGTTCGCGATGCATTTGGTGCTGTCATGCCTTTTCCTATTCATAATATTTTACTGTTCTCCGTAGCCATGTACGCAAAGTATAAGGTATGGCTGGGAATATACTAGTTACTTGTAGTTCATACATAATTATTATGTATGAACTAACTAGTTTAATGTTGAGTAACCTCCACCAATACACTGCGCTATTTAGCCGACTAGACCCTCCTGCACACAACCATCACCATTGCGAGGACACTTCCGTAAACGATATTGATAAACTCCTTCAGACAGCTGTTTCGCTAATACATAGCTCATCAGTGAAGGTCCTCGCATTGGTGATGGTTGTGTGCAGGAGGGTCTAGTCAGCTAAAGAGCGCAGTGTAACGGTGGAGGTGACTCAAAATGTTCTTCAATGGCCGAGAGCTCTGTCGCACCCTGTAATAACTAACTACTACGTATCTAATATTGACTTCGTACTTGGTCAATATAGGAAATAAGAGCCGAGTAAAAGACCGAGGCGAAGCCGAGGTCTTTTACGAGGTTTTTTATTTCCTATACTGACCAAGCACGAAGTCAATATTAGATTTATCACAACAAACAGTCCGTATTTCAAATTCCAGAACGATAACCTCATGAATTCCGGTTTTATGATTGCACTACCGTTGCACCAACACCTACCCATACAGCGACCATGCTGCACTAGGCACCGTTCAACTGCGCAACCCCAATACTAAGAGAGTGGTAATTACTAGTAGATCTACTTTGCTGACGCTGTAGTTCATCGAACACGACAGGATCAGCTGCAAACGTACATGTACATGTACGTCACAGGCTGTTTGGATCGCAGACAAGTGCCTGATGACCGTGCGGTAAACACGGATGCTGCAAAACGTAATTTTCATCTCAACTGTCAAAGGTTCCAGATCATGTCTTCACAGGCATAAGTCAGCTACAAACTCAAACTACTTTAGACCCTGGCCTGAGAAGACTAGTTCACCAGTGTACGTTTAGAGTGATCAACACAGATGACGTTGCTATAAACAACGACACAGAGCAATGCAGGAAAAATCATGTAAAATTTGGGAGTAAAAATTAATATGTTTTCCCGTTTGTGCCTTCCCCTCAAACTAGTGAATATAATTAAAAAATGTAGCAAACAAAGGGGTAGACTCTACGCAGCAGCATTCAACCCTGTACAGATTTTTCAACAACCACCACACCATAACTGCGCTCTCCAGCCGACCGCCATACCTTGCCACAGCACACCACCAGCAAAGCCACATATCTGTTGATACCGACCTGAATTCAGTACCAGTTCAGTTCAGTGTGTCTCCTTGCTGCTGGTGTGCTGTGGTGACGTCGTGTGGAGGTCAGCTGGAGAGCGCAGTTATGGTGTGGTGGTAGATGAAAAACAGATGTAGTAGCGTACATAATATGTACATGCACAGCTATCAGGATATCACTCATACGGGCTATGCTGCTCACTGCAGCCAGGTTTGCTCTGCTGAGAGAAGGCTAGCAGTGGGTTGTCAAGGCATGACCTACATGTATGTACAGTGGGTGCCTGGAAGTGAGCCCGGGAAAACAGATCAAGTGCGGGGTATTTCTTAACTGTGAACTAATTGAAAAAATAGGATGGAGCAGGATCGTTCTAAGACACCCAAAACCCAAGATCTTCTCTCATCACGCATGCCGCACGTGGTCCAATGTTTGGCAGTCAATATCAGTTAGCGCTTTTAAAGGCACGCGTGGCCTACAGCATGGCGCACATGTCTCCATCACTTTCCATCGACTCCATCTTCTTGACAAGCTCTTGGTTGACCCGCATCATCTCCTTCAAGATCTCGCCTTGCCTCTCCATGAACTCTTTCTGGCTGATCGCGGAGGTCTCCAGCTGGCGTTTCAGCTCTTCGACTTCATCTTGTAGTGCGTGCTTGGCGTTCATTTCCTTGCCTATTCTGGCCTGGATGTTGGGAAAGAGCGGCGGAATGTAGTTCTTTCGGTAGTGAAGAACAATGTGCTCCATGAGGCGATCTCGCGTCTTTCTTCGCATTTCGATGCTGCTTTCTTCGCCGCAATCAGGGTTGCTCACCATGAGGAAGGTCGGTATCCTCCGCAGCCGTGGATCGATCTCGACCAGTTGTTGCCAGTAGTCGGCTGTCTTCTGGTCGATCACGGCCGGGGCCAGATACTTGGCGGGTGTTGCTGTGCGCACGCGCGTGGAGAACTTTGCCACGTTCGGCTGGAAAATGACGTTGATCGCCTTGTCGATCGCGTCCTGCTCCTCATTGGTGAAGCGACCGCGGGTGACGAACAGCACCTGATGAATTCCGTCGTCGCATTCGTGTGCCAGCTCCGCCACCGTCACAAGCACCTTCTCCTCCGACAGGCGATTGTCACCGAACCCGATGGTATCGACGATTTTTCGCCGCCAGCTCTTCTCCGGCATAGGAAACTAGAACTGTGTGCGTTGGGCGGCCGAGCGTTTCACTCATCGGAGAGTCCGACTCCGGGAATAGGTCGCCATCGTACCTTCCAGCGATAATATTGGCCAGCGTGGAGTTGCCGTTACCTGTCTTGCCGATGATCACGATCGAGAGAGCAAAAATGGCTGTGAAAACAGTCTAGTACTACAGTCTAATGTCATAAAATGGCTGTGAATACAGTCTAATGTCAATAATAACAATTGTACTTCCAAATGTACAACTACGATGTACTTAGTACAGACATGTCAAAAACCGTCCTTCGACGCCGAACACAACTGCCTCAGGACCGGATAGCCGCTTCAGCCACTATCCTCACGACAGAGGTGTCCATGGCTGGCAGGGGACGAATCCTCCGTGCGCCCCGCAAACAAGCAATGCTGGATCTCAGCAGGGCAAAAGACAGCCGGCACCGGATCCACGACATGACCTGGCTGTACCGCTCCTTCGCCTTCTCTGAGACTAGAGACGCGACACGCTTGTAAAAGGTGGTGGCGGATTTCCCCATCCCACCACTGGCTGAGAAAACCAATGGCAGGAAGGTGGCATGCTCAATATCCCTGACGCGTTGGCCATAGTGTCGACGGCCATTGTGTGACTCATGTCCTTTGACCTCCTCCCAAACAAACATTAGCCATTACAATGTTAGGAAGATCGTTATAAGTAAAATCCCCAAATCGGAGGGCCGAAAACGAGACTTATCGAAATATCGCAAAACTCTTCGCCGACTTTGAGGGTGTCTTTGAGAAACGCCGAAAATCTACCAAATCTTGCAGTATCTCACCAAATTTGAAGCCAATATGCCAACAGGTTTTTAAGCGATTTTCCAATATATTCCAATTTTTCAACCGATTTTCGAACAATCAGCTGATTTTGCAGCCCAGTCTGATGTATTTTTGAGCTAAGCGAAAAGCTGGATAGGCGAAAAACGGGCCGATTTGGGGGAAGCCTAACTCAGACCATTACCATGATGTGGACTGGGAGCTTTGTGGAAGTACAAGACAATAATAATGTACGAGGAGTACCAAATTCACAAGCAAACACTGAACGTTTGGGAGATGTCGTATAGTGGCTGCCGAAATATTATTCCAAATCGACAAGAAGCACTATGTATGGTCCTTGAATAGCAGGTGTGTAAGTATACGTTATCGCATGGTTGCAAGGGCCTTATGGCATATTATTGCCCCGAGAGGTTAGCCCGAGGGCCGTAGGCCCAAGGGCTAACCTCGAGGGGCAATAATATGCCATAAGGCCCGCAGCAACCATGCGATAACAAATTTATCACATGGCCCACAGAGCAGACCATTGGGCTGCTGTTGAAATTAGCCCAAATGCCAACACATTATGACCACGATGTATATTGATGTGCTATCATTATCAAAACAGGAAAAATGAAGATATTTCT